AAATTTAGAGAAGTTATCTAAAAAAGATTCTATTAATTAACTTATACGTAAATCAATTTTAATTTTGGATTGTTTTCATAAAAGTCATCGTGCGTAAGTTTATACAAACATACTCTTGAATATAAATTGGTATTAATAGTTAAAATCTACAACAAGTTTTCACTTTTTTGATATGGGTTTGAATTCTCTTGCCCCATTTTTCTTACAAGGTGAATAAACCCTTCTTAGGAAAACCCCTTTTTAGTTTCCAAAAGTGTTTTCTCAATTTTATCACTTTCCTTTTTTAAAGAAAGAAAATTAAACACTAATATATGGAAGATTTAATAGTTATGGAAATGCATGGTGATGTTTTAGAACTTCTTTTACGTACGTTTTTTCTTTATTCTTGAATACCAACACAATAATAGTTATCATGAATCCTGTGCCATTCATGCAGCAAACATTGTTTTTATCAACTACTAGTAGCTAAGCATTAATTGTCAAATATCAATAGAGATTAAAAAAAATTATAAAAAATTTAAGGAGTTTAGGGAAAATCATTTCAATGGAATTACTACAAAATATGTTCATATAAACTCTCATATATACACAAAATTTAAGAACTTGTGCCAAATTGAAATGAAAAAAATTATATTAATTATAAAGTGTCACTCTTTTAAATATATGAATCCTCGAACAATTTTTTAATTAACTCAACTCTTTTGGTTGAATTAATAATTTATGTTAGTTAGGGCCAAGATATTTCCCTGGCTACCATGCTACGCCAAAGCGTAACAATTGCAAAATTAATTATTCATTATTAGTAATAGTAAGTAAGACTATTTTAAACATGCATATATATAACTATTTTCAAATATAATACTATGCCTGCAATATGCACATCCCATGCTGAACTTTTATGGGGATAAACCAAACCATTTCATTTCATTTTTTCTTTCTATAAAGGAAAAATTAGGTAGTGACAAGAATTACTATATTTTTGTCGAAGTATTCTGGTATGGTGCACCATTAATTTAGCAGCAAATAAGGAAAATTGAAGTTACAAGAGGTTAAATCAGATCTCATGAACCAGTTTCTGCATTCCATAGAGATTCTTTAGGATTGGTTCCAAAGAAATTTTCCTTTGAATATCACAGAATTTTTGAGGATGAATCTTTGTGCTTGTGCAGAAATCAGAGAACTACGAGGTTGCATGGATCTTTTTGATTTCTCAACACAGTTCTGGGGATTCAAAAGGGAGAGCATTCTTCCAAGTACTCTCTAGAGGTAACAGTAATCTCTTTATTTTTAACAAATACTCATCAATGTCGTTTACCTGTTTGTAATTATGTAACAGTTAATGTTTTCACATGTACGATATATTTACTACCCCAAATGAAAACCATCCGTGTCATGATTAAAATAGTGTGAAAAACTGCAATATGTGTAATAAATTGACATGTAGAAAGTAAATTGGGTTACTTTTCATCAAGGATTTACGGAAGGTCAGTGATGTAGATTATTGAAAGATGGAACATTGAGACACCTAGGCCAAAATTTTAGTGTTCAATGCTGGGATCAATCACAGAAAGTGGAATCAACTCAGATATTCTGATCCCTTTTTGATTCTTTCAAAAATAACCTAATTTGGAACAGATTGCCAAATTAAAGACCTCCTAACTGTCCCTTTTGGTGGAGATTAAAGTTGGTGCAGCTAGAACACCACCACCTTTTTGAACATCTCTTGATAACACCCTTCACAATTATTTGATTAAAAATCCTAAGGGGGCATCACTTTCTGTCCCAAAAGCTTTTCCATTACATGCTTGTTCCATGCATCCTAGTCTGCTTTGTCAGAAAAGAAAGCAATGCATTGCTCTCATTGCTCTTTGGCAGAGATACATGGCTTTGTCCATGGCTTTTCATGTTGCCTAAGCAATTTCATTCATTCACGACACAGTGTTTGGATTGTTCAAAACTTCAAACAACGTCCAATGACATCAAGACTATGTGTGTTTCCTTTTCCAAATGTTTTTTTTTTTCTATGGACAACACTGCTCTTAGGGATTGGATTAGATTAGATCTACCAGAGAAATAAAGCATTTGTTTGTGCATGCTGCATAAACTTGGAAAAACTGTTTTGGACTATGCAGCTTTTTCTTTTGTTTTTCCAACACCTTTTGCTTTATGGAAAAGAAAATAAGTAATGGACCAGTTGCGTAATATATGTTAATTAGTTGCATTTTTTCTTGTGATTGAGTTCAGCCAGGACCATGAGTGACAAGAAAGATATTATAGAATTTTCATTGACACAATCAAAAAACACATACATAGTGCAGAATTTTGTCTCTGCAAAAAAGTTTGGCTGAGTTTGGTCTGAAAACTATAAAAACGAGTCTTACAGTTTACAAATTACTAGATGACTAGGTAATTCTGTATATGTTTGTTTAAATTTTCACAAACACTTATCAGAAAAACAAATAAATATATATGAAAGAGATTATCTGAATCAAAGAATTTTTTTTTTCTCTTTTTTACCTTCAATTTGCTGAAGTGAAAAATGGGTTAGCGCACTCATGCCAACATAGTGTTCCTTTCCTAGGTGTCAACTAAGGAATTTCTTCTTAAATAACAGTAGCAGTCGCATGGTGCCATGGTCAAATAAATCTTGGTTTCTACTTTTTGGGTAAAAATTCTATCATATAACTTTTTTTTTAATTCATATATAATCTTTTAATATATTTATGAAAAAGTATATCTAAATACACCCATATACCTTATATTGCTGTTTGTAAAATAACTTTATTAACTTTGGTTAATAATATAATTTATTTCATATATATATATATATATATATAGATAGATACACATTTATTCTCTTTTTGCTTTAGAAATTATTGTAAATTTGTCTTATCCAACTTAAAGGGTCTGAGTTGATTACCTCACCCTAAGTTTATGGAGAGAATATAAGTTTTGATTTTTATACAACATGTCATATGAAAGGGATATATAACAAGCATTAAATGTGGGCAGTCTAGACTAAGGGTTAACTAAAAAATAAATAAAATTTAAGTCTACAATTCTAGTTTCAATTAATTGAAACTTGTAAAAATATCTAAGTCTACAAAAGGCATAAACCTCTCTCTGTTAAAGAAAAATCCTAATGCAATAGAATTTTAATTAGCAAGGAATAATTCTAAGATGAACTTAATATAAAAGCTCCAAATAGCACTAAAATACCCTAAGTATCTTTTTTTTTTTGTTTAGCTTCTTTTTTTACTAGTTTAATTATGTTAAATCAATTTAAAAAAAATAGATTTTCTTTTCTTTTCACTTTGGAGCAAACCTCAGACGAGTTTCATAACTAAGAAATGAAAGAAGAATTAATTGTTAAGTTTGAGAATCCCTCAAGTAATTAACTTTGGTTAGAAATATTCTCAGTACTATAGAATAATCTAAATTAAGTTCCCAAATCCATAAGCATATTCATTGAAGTATGGTGAATTTGGCATATAACAAGATGGATAGCGACTTGAAGGTTGTGCTTCAAATCAATTAATAATCTTTCAACTTGTGAATACAATGACGTGCTAAAAGAAACCTTACTTTACCTTTAATGAAAATTCATTTCGTGTTTGAGTTTCATAGAATTGATCTTTGAAAAGGAAAAAACGGGGAGAACAACATTTTAATTTTCAACGATTATTCTCTAATTTCATAATTTTTAAAAAGTTTTAGTCACTAATTTTGTCTCATAATTACGAAAGCTTTAACTTTGATCTTTTTACTTCAACATATCGCCATCTCATTTCACTTTTAATCTTATAATCCTTTGTTATTTTCTATACTGCGCAATCCTTTTCACTTTTAGAAAAAAGATATTGTAATTCATTTTCTGATTTTTTTTTTATTTTTGGAAAAACTGAATTCATTTGTAAACTTTGGTTGGACCAAACATTTTATGACGACAGTAGTTGTTGCATGATGAGAAGGTGTAAGAAACAGAAACCCACTACAGTTTCGTATGATAATTAAACAAAGTGGTGTCCATCTCACTCAAGCACCAAAGTTAAAGACACGAATAGAGATAGATGCATGACGATGTTATATCTTTTGGATAAAATTCTGAGTAACCAATTTTTTTAAATAAAATAAAAGAAGTGCTATTATAAAACATTTAATGTTAAAAAAAAACTTTTTTCTACTCTAATATTGTGAAAATTTCAAAATAAAATACTATAAATTATGAGTGCTTTAATATTAAAAAAGATAGTAAATATCAAATAGCGACACAAGAATATAACAGATAATTATTCTCTATATAAAGATTCAAATATTATTTAGATTTACTTCATATCAATCTTATTAATATTAATGTTGGAAAATATGTGCTTTATGTAAAGGTGCATGTGTTTGGTAACTCGTGAATATTGTCTGTGCGTATGTGGTAACATTTTTTTTAACTAAAAATTGGGTAATTAATACATAATTAAGAACTTTATGGTTCAATCACTTCATATATATATATATATATATATATATATATATATATNTTGTCAAATATCAATAGAGATTAAAAAAAATTATAAAAAATTTAAGGAGTTTAGGGAAAATCATTTCAATGGAATTACTACAAAATATGTTCATATAAACTCTCATATATACACAAAATTTAAGAACTTGTGCCAAATTGAAATGAAAAAAATATATTAATTATAAAGTGTCACTCTTTTAAATATATGAATCCTCGAACAATTTTTTAATTAACTCAACTCTTTTGGTTGAATTAATAATTTATGTTAGTTAGGGCCAAGATATTTCCCTGGCTACCCTGCTACGCCAAAGCGTAACAATTGCAAAATTAATTATTCATTATTAGTAATAGTAAGTAAGACTATTTTAAACATGCATATATATAACTATTTTCAAATATAATACTATGCCTGCAATATGCACATCCCATGCTGAACTTTTATGGGGATAAACCAAACCATTTCATTTCATTTTTTCTTTCTATAAAGGAAAAATTAGGTAGTGACAAGAATTACTATATTTTTGTCGAAGTATTCTGGTATGGTGCACCATTAATTTAGCAGCAAATAAGGAAAATTGAAGTTACAAGAGGTTAAATCAGATCTCATGAACCAGTTTCTGCATTCCATAGAGATTCTTTAGGATTGGTTCCAAAGAAATTTTCCTTTGAATATCACAGAATTTTTGAGGATGAATCTTTGTGCTTGTGCAGAAATCAGAGAACTACGAGGTTGCATGGATCTTTTTGATTTCTCAACACAGTTCTGGGGATTCAAAAGGGAGAGCATTCTTCCAAGTACTCTCTAGAGGTAACAGTAATCTCTTTATTTTTAACAAATACTCATCAATGTCGTTTACCTGTTTGTAATTATGTAACAGTTAATGTTTTCACATGTACGATATATTTACTACCCCAAATGAAAACCATCCGTGTCATGATTAAAATAGTGTGAAAAACTGCAATATGTGTAATAAATTGACATGTAGAAAGTAAATTGGGTTACTTTTCATCAAGGATTTACGGAAGGTCAGTGATGTAGATTATTGAAAGATGGAACATTGAGACACCTAGGCCAAAATTTTAGTGTTCAATGCTGGGATCACTCACAGAAAGTGGAATCAACTCAGATATTCTGATCCCTTTTTGATTCTTTCAAAAATAACCTAATTTGGAACAGATTGCCAAATTAAAGACCTCCTAACTGTCCCTTTTGGTGGAGATTAAAGTTGGTGCAGCTAGAACACCACCACCTTTTTGAACATCTCTTGATAACACCCTTCACAATTATTTGATTAAAAATCCTAAGGGGGCATCACTTTCTGTCCCAAAAGCTTTTCCATTACATGCTTGTTCCATGCATCCTAGTCTGCTTTGTCAGAAAAGAAAGCAATGCATTGCTCTCATTGCTCTTTGGCAGAGATACATGGCTTTGTCCATGGCTTTTCATGTTGCCTAAGCAATTTCATTCATTCACGACACAGTGTTTGGATTGTTCAAAACTTCAAACAACGTCCAATGACATCAAGACTATGTGTGTTTCCTTTTCCAAATGTTTTTTTTTTCTATGGACAACACTGCTCTTAGGGATTGGATTAGATTAGATCTACCAGAGAAATAAAGCATTTGTTTGTGCATGCTGCATAAACTTGGAAAAACTGTTTTGGACTATGCAGCTTTTTCTTTTGTTTTTCCAACACCTTTTGCTTTATGGAAAAGAAAATAAGTAATGGACCAGTTGCGTAATATATGTTAATTAGTTGCATTTTTTCTTGTGATTGAGTTCAGCCAGGACCATGAGTGACAAGAAAGATATTATAGAATTTTCATTGACACAATCAAAAAACACATACATAGTGCAGAATTTTGTCTCTGCAAAAAAGTTTGGCTGAGTTTGGTCTGAAAACTATAAAAACGAGTCTTACAGTTTACAAATTACTAGATGACTAGGTAATTCTGTATATGTTTGTTTAAATTTTCACAAACACTTATCAGAAAAACAAATAAATATATATGAAAGAGATTATCTGAATCAAAGAATTTTTTTTTTCTCTTTTTTACCTTCAATTTGCTGAAGTGAAAAATGGGTTAGCGCACTCATGCCAACATAGTGTTCCTTTCCTAGGTGTCAACTAAGGAATTTCTTCTTAAATAACAGTAGCAGTCGCATGGTGCCATGGTCAAATAAATCTTGGTTTCTACTTTTTGGGTAAAAATTCTATCATATAACTTTTTTTTTAATTCATATATAATCTTTTAATATATTTATGAAAAAGTATATCTAAATACACCCATATACCTTATATTGCTGTTTGTAAAATAACTTTATTAACTTTGGTTAATAATATAATTTATTTCATATATATATATATATATATATAGATAGATACACATTTATTCTCTTTTTGCTTTAGAAATTATTGTAAATTTGTCTTATCCAACTTAAAGGGTCTGAGTTGATTACCTCACCCTAAGTTTATGGAGAGAATATAAGTTTTGATTTTTATACAACATGTCATATGAAAGGGATATATAACAAGCATTAAATGTGGGCAGTCTAGACTAAGGGTTAACTAAAAAATAAATAAAATTTAAGTCTACAATTCTAGTTTCAATTAATTGAAACTTGTAAAAATATCTAAGTCTACAAAAGGCATAAACCTCTCTCTGTTAAAGAAAAATCCTAATGCAATAGAATTTTAATTAGCAAGGAATAATTCTAAGATGAACTTAATATAAAAGCTCCAAATAGCACTAAAATACCCTAAGTATCTTTTTTTTTTTGTTTAGCTTCTTTTTTTACTAGTTTAATTATGTTAAATCAATTTAAAAAAAATAGATTTTCTTTTCTTTTCACTTTGGAGCAAACCTCAGACGAGTTTCATAACTAAGAAATGAAAGAAGAATTAATTGTTAAGTTTGAGAATCCCTCAAGTAATTAACTTTGGTTAGAAATATTCTCAGTACTATAGAATAATCTAAATTAAGTTCCCAAATCCATAAGCATATTCATTGAAGTATGGTGAATTTGGCATATAACAAGATGGATAGCGACTTGAAGGTTGTGCTTCAAATCAATTAATAATCTTTCAACTTGTGAATACAATGACGTGCTAAAAGAAACCTTACTTTACCTTTAATGAAAATTCATTTCGTGTTTGAGTTTCATAGAATTGATC